GTCAATGAATGTACACCAGGGTATAGTTTCCCCTTGATACAAGTATGCAATTAGTATTAGTACTAATGGATGTTATACATGAAAACAGAAAAAAACTATGTGCTTCTGTAATCCTTAACAGCCATACACAAAACAACTTAATCATGGCAGCAACACAGTAAGATTAAAAATAAAAGTAGTAAGCACAGGTTAAGAATTACCATAGGCTAACTCATCACACTACTTAAGACACCGTTTTCCTCTGCCTCATAAAATAAGCAACTGGGAAGCAAATACTGAGAAGAGTTAAATAAAATTATGATTCAACAGTGAGATGATGATCTTGTTCATGATGTTCCCATGCAGCACACAATTAAAGTAATTGGTTTAATTACACCACAGGATTATACACTACGTAAACACATTAAAGGGACCATTGTAAACCAAATAAGAGATATTTCATGTTGCAGATTAATAGAAATTATGAGGTTGTTTCCCAACTCCCTTGCAGAAGAAAATTCATAAACAGTCTTATTTAGACAGACTTTTAAAAATATCAGTCCTGCAACTGTGGACCGTTTTTCTCCCTTGCAGAAATTCATAGAAGTATGTTCACAACTACATTAGAGCACAGGGTGTATTGTTCAAAACATACACATGGGCAGGTTTACTTACAGAGAGTTCAGAGAAGTTTAGACTGGCTGCCTGTCTGGGCTGTCTCATCCTTCATGTTTTATTCCTTTCTGATCTATTCACGTTGCAATCTCCCTTTGCCTTAAGTAGGTTTTAGATCAGCCTTTACACTCAGATAGTTCTCATCTTCGGTAAAAGGTAAAATACATTGTCAGTCCATTTTCCATGATACGTGTATAAAAGCATATACACATTATATACTCATCTACATCTCATCAAGATGTTTCATCCGGTCCAAATATGCTGGAGGATTCCTTTGTTCTTACATATATTCCTAAAAGACAGGAGCACTGACATTCCTAAGTTAAAAGTTCATAGATAGGAAGGAGAGAGGGCAAGTGGGAGAGGGAGATCTGCCATGGGCATTTCCACAATGTATCTGCAAAGGGGAATTATTATAAGCAAGAATTTTGATCCTTTGTCAAACATTTCATTTACACAGTTTTCAAACACCTGCTTATCCAGTTGAAGAATGCACTAGAAACTTGTGCCTTACATTCATCACTGTGGACAAAAATTACTTGGCACAGTCTTCAATGCCACTTCCCCCTCTCACCATTTTTCCCTCTAAAGGAAAAAAGAACTGATTTTTTTTTAAAGCTTGAATTAACAAGTTAGCTTGTAAGATTTTGCATCACAGGCATAAGGACTGTCTTGTCCTTCCCTAACTCCCACTGGAACAGGATGTTAACATAACTGCATGAAACTTCTTCTAGCAAAATTTTTTAGTGCAGCTCTGCTTAAAGCAAGAAAAATATTTTGTCATTTACTTGACAGAGTCTCCAATTCTGTGCACTGACAGATCCCCAAAGTGCACCTGAAATATAAGCTGCCATAGCAAAGTGCATGTTTGCAGGGGAGGCAGAATTATGCTCGTTCCACATAATCACTTAATCAGATACATGCTGCCATACACTCAGCTCGCTTGGAGTTGTGCAGCGGAGCCCGATCCCACCTGGTACCACCCACAGCCGGGTCACAGCCTGCCCGGCTAGTTCAGAGTATCAGTGACTGACACCTGCACTGGCAGCCTCTCCCATCAGGGGCTGTCACAGTAACAGCTGCTGCTTCAGCCCTGGCTTAGGAACAGCCCTATGCTGCTGCTCTCTCCCACCTAAGATTGGCTCTCCAGAAGCGGAGATAATGTTCTGAGACAACAGTGACAATTTAAGCACTAACTCTAATTTTATAGCAACTGAAGAGGAGTGGTTTGCTTAGCTATGATCAGGCATAAGGAACTATTTACAATATAAATAATAAAAAAATCCCAGAGTTGCAGATCTCCACTGTGTTGCTTACAGAATAAAAATGAAGCTGAACCATTGAGCTGTCATTGCACAACTCAACGAACACCAACAAATACGTACGAAAAGAAGTCACGGGCTACATGCTAGGGGCTATGATTTGGGCACATCACAGAATGCAAGCCAGCAACCCCCCAACAGCAAAAGAAACAACTCAGGTTAATCCATACTGCAAAGGAAGGGTGACTACATCAATAGGTTACTGATTCAGACCATGAACTTTATTTCAAAATATTGTATTTAACTTTTAAATAAGGTTTAGGAGAACTGTAGCGTTTTGCTCACTGACACAGCTATATTTTATTAAGGACAGAAATAGATTAGTCTACAAAAATTAAATTATACTTCTTTGACTGTATCTAGTCAAGAGGAAAAACTCTAATTATGAGATTGTGCTGTCAAATAAATGCAAATTCACATCTTTCATATTCTGGGTTAAAAATTCAAACTCAGGTCTATTATAAATTAAAATCAATATTTGAAACATTTCAGCTTTTAGGGATAAGCAACAACCAAAAGAAGCAAGTTGTGGAATATCCTGGTAGAAGTAGAATGTATTATTAAATAAACCTTGGGAAAATAAAGTAGTTATATTACACACATTTAAATATCAATTAGTAAAAAAAAAAAACCAAACAAAAACAATAAAGGATGATGAACTGAATCATCTGTTTTACAACCAATCCTCTCTAGAGCTGACTGAGGATAACAGAGAAGCTAAGCTTGCAATTTAAACTGCACTCAATTTGAAATAGTTCAGTTAAAAATTTAAATGTATTAACTAGCTGAAATTTATGATCTCTAAGCTTAAAGTGAGAACTGCTTTTACAGAGGTAAATTAAATAAAATAGAACAGTGGTAACCTATGCACAGCGTGCTAGTTACCTCCTAAAGGGAAAATCCAAGGATCTGCTCAGAGACAATATAAAATTGCACAGGAAAAAAAGCCCAAAACCCACTACTCAGTTTCTTTTAGGAGCTCCTTATTTACTACATTGTGAACCAATTTCTTCATAGGAGTAAGGACAAGCTGTGCACCAATGTCTGTCTAAAATCTACCAAAGCAGTTCCAATTTGCATGTTGAAGGTGCTGCAGCCTTGCCTGCTGGTTAGAGAAGAGACATGTGGCTGGACATGGCACCCTGCCCCACACACCCACGGGGGGTTGGGGGGTGGGTTTGGGGGTGTGCACATGTGCAAGCACACCCTTGGACTTGCATGTTAAGTCTGCAAGGGGTTTACCTGACTGAACACACTGTTCTAACAGTCACCTGAAGGGAAGATTACAGACATGTTTCTGGAGGGCTGAGAGAGTCTGAGGTTGCATTGAAATGAAAATGTGAAGGAACCAGACAAGCTGTTTAAAAAAAAAAAAAACCAAACCCAAAACTAGCAAACACCAAACAACTGTTAGACAACAAAAGTAAGTTCTTATTTTATCCCTACATCTACGCACCGTGCTTACAGCCCTTCATGTTTACATCCATTCAAACCTATTAAAAGTACTACAGAAGCTGTGGTGTGCAGGTAGCAAAGCCTTCACACCTTCATTTAGATACTTGGCCTTTAAAGGCACCTCACAAGCCATAACTATCTCCTATGCACAATACCCTTTCTAAGTGAACTTGAAATAAAATATTTCAGTAACATATAGCTTGAAAAAATACTAGTCTCATTTAAACAGTTTTTTTTTTTTTCTCTACGCTGGAGAACTGATAAATATTTTATAGAAATAGTCACTGTGGATGGTGTCACCCAGGGTGAAAGTGCCAGCAGCTACGATGACAACAACTGTTACAATTTATCATTCATAAGGTGGTGGTCTGAAACTACAACTGCAAATGGAACTAGGCAATTAATAAACACTTTGAAAACATTAATGAGTAGTTTCCTAACGTGAAGAACCAGTGTTAGTGTTACAGATGGATGCACACTTTTGCTAGGTAGACAGGGATCCTGCTGTCACTGAAGGACTCTGAGAAAGGACAGGCTACAGCTTGATTGACATTCAGGGTGTAACAGTCCTTCACGTCGGTTAACTCCATACTCTGAGGCATTGCCCTCAGCAGCAGGATGCACAATCCCAGACAGCAGCTTCCCCCTAAATCAGTTCTCAGAACCCAAACTGCCCTCTGCACCCCAAGCTCACTGCGTGGTGCCCAGGTCCCAGCTAGGGGAGCCTGGCAGCTGTCTGCAGGAGCTGCAGCTCCCACACCTTCGCTCGCACCCCGCCCAGCCCGGGAGCCCCTCATGAGGCCCCAGGCTCCTGCTGGTGCAGGCAGCGACAGCTCCCAGACAGCTCCCTCTGAAACGCAAATGCCATTTGCGACGCCCAACAGGAAAAACAATTCCTAACACAGCCCAAAAGGCAAGAGGGGCGAGCCATGGAGCTGCAGCTCTTTTCCTCCTGAACACGTTTATCTCCAAATACACTAACTTGAGATTTATGACATTAAGGGAAAAGCCCCCTTCGGACTTAGAAAGTGAGTATGGCAAAGATACCTAGTTGTGCCCTCCTCTCCTCACTTCTCAAAATGTCCTTGGTATCCCTCCCTCCCTTTTGCTTGATGTTTTCTTTTATGGATGAAAAAGATGACTACACTTCCTTACGATGAACCTTCAGAGTATATGAATTTCTAGAGTAAATAAAAGAAAGGAGGGAATTACTAATTTAATGCTTTTCCATCTCTTGGGGAAAAAGCCCATGTAATTAACTGTAATGAGATTAAACTAACTTGTTGTTATTAATTTCCCAGTGCTGGGAAACTAAATCTGAGACCCATAAGACTCTACTAACAGCTTTATCAACGTTTTGCTGGCATCCTTCAGTTTTTACACCAATCTTAAAGGTAAACTATCAACTTTATTGAGTTGCAAAGCCACTCACAAGTATAAGAAACTGCATCCAGTCCCCTTAGGTAGAAATGACAGACTCGTCTGTAGCCGAAGACTGAATAGGTGGAGCCAAATGCAACAAATGCTATCCAGCACAAATAAACAGAAGTGCAATTATTAAATTCTTACCAAAACTTTTTTCCATTACTTCCTTCTGACACATATCTTGAACATTCATTGTACAATTCACAATAAATTCTGGAGCAGAGCAGTCATTATTTAGTTGGAACTCCTCACACTGGTAGCACTGTATCTGCAAACCCAAGCCTGGAACAGAGAAAATTTTGCTCAGAAAAAATAGTAATAACACTTAAAAACCACAAACAAACAACACGTGCCAGAAATCTTACTTGTCCTTGCATCTCTCCATTTTGCTGCTCCTCACCACTCACCGGCTAACGTAAAACAAAGGCGTCGCCCACTCAGCTGAGGCTGTGCCTAAGGCGCTAAGCGCCCGATTAATCAGCGGGCCGCCGTCGGCGGGGACTCCGGGGCGGGCTC